CGCGACGTAAGAATATCATAGTACTGATACACTTAATCGATACAGAATATAATGATGACGTGTCTTTCATAATTCGATTGACAAAATAATAATATAAATACTTGTAATCCATTGTATGGCACATAACGGGATAAAAACAGTAATAATAAATAAGATAAAACTCATAAAAATTTAAATCACTATGGCACGTGCATTTATATTTTGAATAGTTTTTGTTCATCAGATGAATTTTAGTTTATGTCGACTGTCAAACGCATACAGGGTAACGAACGGATATTTATAAAACGATTTGTTTTAAAACGTTTGGAGGAAGAGTGCACACCTCACGAGACAACCACTTTAAATCCAGTAAAACGTCGTAGCATATCCTGCTTTATTTATAGATAGACAACGAATGCTTCCATTCACTATAAGAAAATAGGTAATTCAGTAATATTCGAAATAAAGAATACTTCAATTTGGAATGATTAAATGGCGTAGGAAAATATTGTGTAAAGTGCATACATTGATATTATATTGCTAATATAATATATGTACTATGGTATAATAAGTGCCAAAGTATTTATGCAATGCACGTACCGTGTAACAACCGGAAAAAGAGCTATTGATAAAATGACAAACCTACGGTTAGCTTAAATCATTATTGCCAGATGTTTTAAATAAAGCTTATTGATTTTCTTTTGTTTTGTATTGTAAGTTGTAATTTACATTTTAATAAAAAATTAACTAAAAAATGACAATTATGGCACTTTACAAACAAATAGCGATTAATTTTTAAAAAATATTTGTTAAGGCGACCGTATAAAACTTATTTTATTTTATTATAAACCCCAAATTATTATTATTATCATTGTTCTACAAGTATGACTCAGTAAAAAAAAAAAAAATAAAAATATACGTTGAGACTTACATTTCAGTATATTAAAATATTATTAAGTTTATCGTACATATCATGCTCGATTACTGTTAGACCTTAGATCCATTAAAAAAAAATATATAAGCTTATATAATAATACTTTTCAATATTGTACAAATGAATTTCATTGTACAAAAATAATAAATACCATTGTATTTTAATGATTTAATGATGACGTCAAATTGTTGTTCAATCATTGTTTTTCATCGTTGTCGGAACCGTATTATATTTATTATATTTTGTTTTATGAAATAGTGGTAACTGTGGAGTAAATTCGACCTACGCTTATATTTTTATAAAAAGGCATTGACAGTATTAAAAAAAAAAAAAAACTCTTATAAAGCCACGCAATAGTAACAAAATCTAATTCCAAAACTCGCATATTTTGTTTTCTGCTGGGATTTTAGTTTTCGCGTATTACGTCGGATCGTTTCGTCTGCATCTGTGTGTTCGTATGTTTAATGAGCATCGAAACCTCGGAGAAGACGTTTGGACAGAACAATAGCGTTATGGTAAAAAAATATACGTCTACCGGTCGCATTTCATCGGCGTCCACTGCGCGTGTAACAGTACACGTAGGTATATTGTTTAATCACGAACGCTTACGGCCTAAACGGTTTTTTTTCCCCCGACGGTGGTAAAAAAATAAAAAAATAAAACACCAGGAACCGCGGTGATACACTCCTCCGGTCACGTAGATGGCCGGCGAGTGTAACGTCGTCCACAGGTTGCTGTTGCCGCGCGAGATCATGTACAGCCGGGCAGTAGTGATTGTTTGTACGGTATTGGGGACGTGAGACGCAGACGCGATTTTTGACGTCCGAACGTTTGTACGACGGCCGTAAATCACACGCGCACGAAACACTTGATCGCCATGACGCGGTGGTGGTCGGTGCGCGCCACGATCCGAAGCCGATGCCGGACAACCCCCACGTAAAGGTCTATTTAGACCTAACCGTTCCGTGTCCGTTCCGTATCCGTACCGTCCGTTTAGTTTCAGTGCTTTGGATTTACACAATACCGTTTCGTGTCCGATCCGCATCCGTTGTCCGTGCCCGTTCAGTGCTGTTCGAACCTATCTTTTGACCTAACGCGCGTTTTACGTATCGTGTTTCATTGTTGCTTTAGGCGCTTGAAAAAAATTATAATATGACTGGAAGTGCAGAATCGCTAGAAGATCTAGCTGTACTTGCCTTGCTGCTAATTCTATATGAGAACGAACCATTTCTATAATTTTTCTGTCGATATTGGTACACACGATTTAAATGTAGATACTCAAGTTTTTGAAAAAACAACTTTTTAAATACTTTAAACTTTAAAATTTTATTTTTAATTTTACAAATACGTCTCGCGAGTAGGTATGAAAACCAATCAAGCTGTCAGTTGTCACTGACGGCTGTTTACATAGTTCCGTATTTTCCATATCCGTATCAGTGAAATCCCCAAAAACATTGTCTCCGACAAATTTTAAAGCACGGACACGGATAGTGCGGATACGGAACGGACCTGTGTAAACATGCCCATTATATAACAAGTAAACAAACTTTAAGCGCCGGACACGAAACGGACGGTACGGATACGGAACGGTTATGTGTAAGTAGACCTTAAGGAGAAACCCGTGCGCGCGGAGACTAGTCCGGATTTATACTAGAGCTCTTAAAACACGTGTCACGGAATTCACGTGTACACGTGAAATACATGTTTATCCAAAATATATATCCATTTTTACAATGGTAAAATTAGTAATTTTATGTTATACACTTGAAGTTTTAATAAAATATTAATAGTACAGTATTAAGTTAAGGATATACGTTTTTATTTTGGATTTTACACGTGACTCGTGACACGTGAATTCCGTGAATTCACGTGTATTAGGAGCTCTAATTTATACCGGGCACGTACGCCGACCGTGCGCGCGCGGACAACCCAACCAACGGACGACGACCGTCGTCGTCCCCCGAGACCGGTAAATCACGCGCGAACATTGCGCGTGAGCCGTCCGGCCCCGTCGCGTACGGTCGACCTTGCGGCCCGACCCGGACCCGTTCGGGTGACGGGGCGCTGTGCGCGCGATCCGTTTGCGCGCTCGCATCACGACCGAATCGAATGGAGAGAAGAAACATTAGCGGTCCGCACGGGCGGCGGGTGACCGTTGGATTTCGTTTTCCACGCCGGAGAACACTAATCGTTCTTATGATAACGCGACAAAAAGAAATTACATTTACGCGTACAATGCTTCCATTCAATACAACGCGTTTAAAACGAGAACGTTTATCGTTCGAAGAATCACGGAATGCCTAATATTGAATTTTCCGTTTAGGTTTTATTCGTGTTATACTATCGTTATTATTGTTATTATTATCATTTACGTAATAATTACATTTCATCTGTTTGATTTGAGCACCGGAAATGTGTATAGTTAACGTACAACGTTACATCATAACATAGGGTTAGTCTTCGGCAAGAACAAAACATTTCTTTACTAAATTTTGTTACATTTGACTGTAATTAAGTTGCGTCCGACTGCGCGCTAGTGCTATTATTTTATACCTATCGGTTAACTAACCAATCCCCCCGTCATTTTCTCTAACTGCCAACCTTATAATTCTACGTTTATTCACCGTGTATTATTAATCGATGCGTTCCGTCCCGTTGCCGGTGTAAAAAATATTATATTTACTTTGGTTTATAAATACGTCGTATTAGTGAGATTTACTAGAGTAAGCAATGTGTGTGTGTGTGTGTGTACCGTAAACACTGAGAGCACGTAAAAGGCGTAAATATAGACTTGGACGGCTTACAGATACCGGGAACACCTGTGTTTTTAGGGACCCTCGACCGAGTCCTCTAAATCCTACCACGCTTTTGTCTTGCTCCTTTTCGACGGCCGCATTATCAACACGATATTATTATTCATCGGCACCGGCGGTCCCACATGTGTGCACCGAGAGGCAGCTGCAGCGGTGCGATACCGCTCGCGGTCGGTTTCATGTGTATGCACATTAAAGCATCGCTGGTGCTGCTGTGGACTTGAACCGTAATATCCGCCGAAAACATCGTGCTCTTCGTGCAAACGCGTGATTCCGATAGATTAAATGATTAGTAATTTCCTGCGTAGTGTTGCTCCGGCACATTGTCAAACCCAAATACGAATGGCATGTTATCGAGAGATGAAACAACAATTTTTGACCCTAAGAGAAAATATCAGTTTTTCTTTCATTCCCGATTTTTTCGTTGCCGGTTTTTGTTTTTATTAAAAAAAAAAAAAAAAGACAAAAAATGTCCATAACATATCACGATGTCCTACTGAACTGTAAAAATAATTTGTTAATGCGTAAATAAATAAGTGTAATTTGATTCGTCTTTAGACAGCATTTTCAACGCGGACTTTACGTGCGTCGTGTAATACGAGTGAGACAAATTATAGAATACCCCGCATTCATTTCTGATTCTCACGAAATATTAATATTTTTTCAGTTCGTTTTCATATATTTTTCTAACATTAAAATTATAGCGATAATATTATTTGCTGGATAGTTTATTAAAATCGTAGAAAGAAAAAAATTAAATATAATATTAATAAATTGATTGCGGTTGGTGTGATTACAATTTTCATGAGGAAATCAATCAATTTGTTTGCTTAATTTAATGTGATTTTATACACTCCAATAATATGTTATTCTTAAGGTTACCGAGAGCACGCAACTTCAAATATACATTGTATAATAATTATGTCCGTCGAACTTCTTAATCTAGTAGTATCACCATGACGTTATTAATTAATACGTTAGTTAATATTTACAAAAATTCTTGCAAAACAACTATAATTATTTAAAATAATAGCTGTATCAGAAATCCAATACAAAAATAAAATTTGTTAAATTTTTTTTTTTTTAAATAATAATGCCTTGTATTGATTTGTATTTTGGAGAAATGTTGACTCTGAAATATTGCCCATTGTTCTATTAGAAGTTTAATAGTAGTCATCGGTTTTTTTTTTTTTTTTTTATATTAACCGTCGTGAAAAATAACTCCATTAGGACAAATCTAAATTCATAAATTTAACTTTGTGTTGTTTTTTCAGGTTTTAATCGCTCTGTCTTTCGAATTGGTTTATGTTGATCGGTAAGAAGATATAAAAGAATCCAAGAGTATTAACCATGTTGAAACACGTGCACCGAGCAAAATGTGCCGATACACTTAGCATTGTGTCTACGGCAAGTTCTTTCAATCAAGAATCAATGTCGAGTAGATGTTCAAGTATATCTTCGTTGAACATAACAAATCCTGTAGTGAGTTTCTTAATATAAAAATTTTTTATGAATACCTAACCTTTTAAAAGGAAAAACATTAATATTAATTACATTAGAACATAAATTTAGTATAAAATTAGCCTGTATCTTCTACTTTTAATTAGTTTTATATTGATAATCTGATGCAATAAAATTATTTAAACACAGAAAATAATTTACATTTATCAATATTTAATATTGTAAAATTCCAATACATATTATTGGAATATTAAAATTATACACATGTAAAACACTCTTATACATCATTGATGATGTAAAAATAATAATAATTTAAAAAAGTTTACATTGCGTACATAATTTTTCATACAAAACATTAAGTTAAAAATTGAATCCCATCAATTATGATATCTTACAATATTATAATAATTTTGCATTATTGTTTTAACGCTTAAATATTGGTTCAAAATATAAATGATAATTCATAATATGTGCATGCTTTACATACATACAACGAATATTGCTTGTACCTTTAGATGATATAATTACTTTAAGTTTATACTTTTTAATATATTTGAAACACAAAAAGCATATAAGATAATTTATAATTTTTTTTTTTTTTTTAGGAAACAATCAAAGTTTATACAAAATGTTTGCGTTCCGACCTCGAGTATAAAACACTTGGCCTATCTTATACGACAACTTGCAGTGAAGTTATTTCCATTTTACTCAGTAAATATCGAATGCGCCACAGAGACCCAAATCTGTTTTACATGACCATGGAAATAAACTTAAGGAAAATAGGTTAGTTACTATTGCTACAATATAGCTGCTTTATTTAAACACTTCACTACAATTATATATTATTTTTACGGTTACAAAATATTAAGATTTTATTTTGTTCAGGACTCAGAACTGTATTCGTCTTGGATAACGAATCTTGTCCCGCGGTATTACAGTCCTGTCAACCCAAAGGAGAATCGAGGTGTGTATCTAGCTGTTAATTTATCTTTTTCATAGTACAATCTAAATATAATCAATTTTTTTTAAAAAATGTATAATTTAAAATTTTTAAAAAATTGAAATAAAATTATTATATCAATCGGAAATAGTAACCCGATCAACTGATGAATCCCTTTGTATTATACTTTTATAATTGCTTATTTATAATTACAACTGGTTTTAATTCAATATTTGTAATTAATATAGATTTTGTTTGCAATCAAAAAAAGGTGGTCTTGTGAAAATTTATGACAGTGAATTGATGCCAGGAGTAAGTGTTTTTATTAACATTTAGCTAGTAATTTTTTTAACTTAAGTAGATACTAATTATGATTTTTTTTTTTTTTTTAGTCCAAGTATAAAAGCTTATTGATTTCTGAACGAACTACAGTCGATGAGTTGATCAGAATATTACTCAACTGCTATAATAGCAAAGAGGAAGTTGAACAGTTTTCTGTGTACGAGGTAAGTACTCATTTTTCTAGTGAACCTCATATAAGCCTTAATTATTCAACAAATATATTGAAATTCTTCATTAGGTATCAAAATCTGAAGAATATCAACGCAAACTTCATCACGATGACATGCCATTGAATGTGCAATACTGTTGGCCCCATGGCAGTGATTTCATTTTCCTGCTTAAAAGGAATCCAAATTACAAGTCAAAACAAGTAAGTCGTTTGATTAATATTATATTATAATGTAAAGTGACTAACATTTTTCGAAATGTTTATTTGAAGTTTATTTAATGAGATGGTGGGATAATAATAGTTATAGATAAGATTTAAATGTATATGTAAAATATGAAAATGTTTTAATGTATGTATTATTGTTTCTAGGTTCAGACTATTTGGACCGATCACCACAAAGAAGAACGTATAATGAACGACTATGAAAATTTTATTTACATATAGTTTTGTTACACTGTATATTATAGTGTTTGTACATATGAGTGTAAAAATATTGTTAGTTCTATGAAATCAAAAACTATGACTTTCTCAGGGTTCTCAAATATTGTAAGGTGTAGTAAACAACAGTTTATATATATTTAAGTTTATAAATCAATTTTTTTTCTCATATAATATGCATTCAGTGAAGTAAGCTACTAGAAATATAAAAGTTATTTCTTCGTATTTCATTTCGTTAAAAGTGTAAATTTTTGTAATGTATAAAAAAAATGATATACGATAAAAATTACTTCTAATGAATCTAGAATGATGCAATTATATTGTCAATGAATTTATTGAACTTTAATGAGTGATAATAATAGTTTGTAACTAAACATTATCATTGGGTTTTTAACTATCATTTATTTTAATTACCTACATCTTGGTGAATCATTGCATATTTAATTTTATTTGACAGATATTTTAAGTTTACTTTTAGTTGTTTATCAATACCCTCATGTCTAGTGCTGTATTTTGTAGGGTTAGTTATTTTTAAACAATTTTCATATGCCTGGCTTTTTTCAATTTTTTTTGTTGTCTTGAACTTAAAAAAATTATTATTCAATGTAAAAAATTTGTTCTATGATTTATTAATAAGAAATTGTGTGTTTTATATCTAAAAAAAATTTAAAGATGATACTAAACATGTTTACTGATTCAGCTGGTTGGAATTTATTGTTTTACAGGAAATTATATTATTTACACTCAAAAATTGTATTTTTTATGAAAAAAGTCATGCTATTTTCATTTTTATATTTATATTTATATTTTGTTATGGTTACTAGTCCTAAATTATTTTGTTTTGTTTATATCTAAATGTGTCATTCATAAATAACTCATTATAAATGTAAGTGGTCTCTTAAATTTATCATGTGGGGAGTTAATCATTTGCCCATTACTTACATAATGAATATTATTTCAAAAATATTTGGTGCACATCAATTTTATGTTTGTATAATATTAAGTTTTAGGTATACCAACAGAATTAATATAGTGTAAATTAATGTTCAATTAAACAATTATTGCCAGAAAGTATTTTTATAATATAATTGCGGTATTCAATATTTAATAATGAAAGAAAATTATTATTTAATTTATTTGATTCAATAATTTTTATGTTCAAGCTGCTATACTACTTTATAATAGCAGATTGTAACAGTAATGCAATGGAATAATGTCATTTGCTGTTGTGTAATAAATAATTTTTCATACTACAAATAAATTTACTGTTAATAATACATTATCAAGAAAATAAATAAATTACAGTATTTTGAAAAATATAATATTCTCTGGCTTAAATTGTTCAAACCTTAAGTCTTATTTATTTTTTTTATTTTTTAAAGTATAATAAAATGTTTTACATGTTTATTTTAACTTGTTAAGATGTTAGGTATTTGTTTTTATTATTATTATTTTCTTAACTGTGTTATAAAAATTTGGATGTTACATTTTCAATATTTAAATACATAACCATTGAAAATGTAGGTAATTTCATTTTTGTAATTCACATTATTAATATAAACCGTAAAATGTATTTTGGAGATTATTATGTATTGAATAAGATTAATTTATTTTGATATGTGATTTTCAGTATGATGTTGAACATAAATTATGTAATTATGATAACATTTAATTTGAAAACTGTTTTTCTTGTGAATTATACATTAATTGATTAATTATTAATGATTCATATCCGCAGTCAAAATAAGTCTGTAGTTTTCAAATTAAATAGATTTTTAAGATGACAATAAAAAAGTTAAGCATTAGAGGCTGCATTCAAACATAATAGCTACTGTAGTAATAATTATTTATTGTGTTCAGTAGTGTTGCTTTTAACTGTTTAATTCTATATTTTTAAGTGCTAAGTAATATGTTAATGTATATTTTTTAATATTTTTTTAAGACACAAAATGTTATTTAAATTAAAATTAATGTCATTTTATTCTATAAAAATATTAAAATAATTCTGAACAATACATATTTTGCACTGAATTTTTTTAAATTTAAGTCATAGGTATTAATATTGTTTTACCAAAGATATTAAGTATGTATTTGTATTTTTAATAACAAATAAAAACTAATTTGAAGCATTAAAGAAGAATGTAAAATTATTTTGTAAATTAAGTGTACAATGGTTAATCTTTAATGAAAAGAAACCATTTCTAAGTTACGAAATATGTAAAATTAAATTTTGTTCAATTAATAAACTCTTAACTATAAAGTATATGATAATAATTAAAATGGTGGTTGATATTTTTCATATATATTTGTAACAATTCTTCACACACTATGCAATTCAATTTATTATTAGTCATTCAATAAATATAACACATTTATAATATATACGGAACAGAGAAATCTAGATTGTTCCCCTCACTCAATTTTTTTTATCTGTATAAGATATTCCATGCTATAAAAGTATTTTATCAGAAAATATAAAAATAATCTGCTATATCTTCAATATTAATTGCATTATTAATTAATTACGTTTTAAATTGTACATGTTGTTTGCCTTTGGCTAATGATTTATTCGGGTCTTCTTTGAACAAAATTCAAATTAATTACAAGGAGCCATAGGTAGTGGTCGAAGTGGTTCAAAATAAGTGAAGGGATGCCTATATTTTTATACTACTTATATTTTGAGACTTATACACTTGGATAGGATTGGAGGCAGTAGCGGATACCTCATGGGTTAAAGGGGTTAATCAACTCCCCGAAAAAAATTGGGTGGTGGGTGGTCGTGGTCAATTTCTAAAGCATTTAGGGCTGGTAAATATTATAGGTAATAATATATCTATAAAATATTGTAAAATTTCAACATTATATTTCATGTCATTATAATATAATAGCTAATAGTTGAGTAGTTTTATAGTGAAAACACTGACAACATAATATATCTCTACGCACACCTCGTGGCCAAACCATTATTTAGTTTATAAAATATGATACAAATCTAAAATTAATTAAGATTGTTTTATACGATAACTGATGTTAGATCAAATGCTCATGCCCGGTTGCATCAAATATTTACACGAAGATAAACTCGTTTAACTATTTAAAACTGTATATATAAACTGATTACGAATTATGACCGATAGATTTTTGTCCTCGGGAAATTGATAAGTGTGGTATTGGATTTGCATTATCTCGAACTCTTTTGTAACAGTTCTGTAGTCGTCTACAGTTGTTAATTTTAGTTTTAGTGAATCTTTTTTTTTTGATCTATTGTAAAATCATCTTGGGCTACAGTTGCTAGTGATGAGTGAAACTGTTCGTAATTTGTAATATTTTGGACAAATATAGATGGTATTTTCCTTACCTCGGAATTTGTGTTGTCAATATCGGCCAGTGTGATGTCATTTACTTATTCGTTGTCCAATAGGTTGGACAGCGGATCGTATCGGTTTTTATTTTTTAATTGAGGACTTGTTGGTGACGTTGGGTAGATATTATCTTTTCTTTTCCTCTTGAGCGAGGAGTTTATCTCCGTTTTGCTGGTCCCTCCTTGTCCGAGAGGCATTTGTAAACACTTTATGCAGATGCAATTTCGCTAAACGTTATTTACGGAACGAAAACTCTATCGAACCTGCCGCGTCGGTTGCCGATAACGAATTGTGAAAACGGTTTATCAAAACGGGTTAAGAACTGTGCAACTGAAGTTGTATAAAATTTTTTTAAACATTTTATTAACAAATCTACCGTTTTCCATAGATAACATATTCTAAGTACATTATTGAACACTTAAAAAGGGACTATATTTTATATTCCATAAATATTTTGAAATAAAAAGTATACACATATTATAGTTATACTCGATATTTAAGGGGTTTTATATAGGCAATTTAAATATCAAAATTAAAACAAAAAACGTAATTTTAAATTTAATTGTTACAAATCATACGATCGATTGTTGAGTTTCTCGTGCTATTCTTTGTTAGTAAAATACAATTTTTACTTTATCAAGTCCAAACAATCACAATTGTTGTTCATTATTATTTTTGAAATGGCTTCTATAGGTATAGGTAAATATAAACATTTAAAATCTATTTATCATTGGTTATGAAAAATACGGTTCTGAGTCAAGGACGGATTGATCAGAATCTACGTATGAAGTACCTAATAATTCCATAATCTGACTGGTGGAGAAAACTTTTACAAAAAAAAAAAAAAAAATCTCTGGATTTTGATTTCGGAATGATTCAATATCAGCAGTCAAAATCATTACTATCCTAGTACGTACAGTGTATATTTAATGCTAATAAAAGTGTACACCTCATATTTCAAGTTCGCATCCCTATTGCGACTGATATTTTTGGATAAAAATACAACTAATACAAATATTATATCTTTAAAATGCTAAAAAATGCCAAGACTTCTTCACAGTTCGTGGTGCTATAACACTACGGTGGCCAAAATGGTTCGAATCAGAATCGCGTCGCTCGCTGGTTTCGGCTTCCGAACGGAATCCGTCGCAGTGACGTTCTCGCGCGTAAAAACGCCGTTTAACTTCGACTATATGAAATGGTTTCGACCCGCAGTGACCAGAAGCGTATCGGGGGGGGGGGGGGTTCAGGGGGTCAGCTGACCCACAGTTAATATTTGTTGACAAAATTGGCCTCTTGGAAATTTCTTTTTTTTTCAGACCTTGATTTGGGCTCTTGGACAGTTGGCCCATCGGATTTACTTGAAAAATGAACGCCATGTATATTCAAAATTTTTCAAGTCATAATTTATATTTTAAATTACATCGTTTTAGTAGAAAGTTAAGTAAACCATATTTTATTCCGTACGTTTGTTGCGCTGATAAAATTAGATTATACTTATTAATCGTAAATAAGTCATTATCGGTGGTATCACCAATTTTAAAATGTAATATGAATATACTTATACACTTTTATGAGCGTATTGTGTTTTTTTTTTTTTTTTTTTTTACAAGGTATTCAGTTTCTAATTCAGTTTCATCCCTA